CAACGGAGGCCGTGCCGCTGGGAGTACCACTCACGCAGCTGCTGTGAAGTGGGAGCAGTGCGGGGCAGTGCGGTAGGGGAAGAGACGGTAAAAGGGTACCGACTCGTCAAAGGTGACGTCCTGAGAGGCGAAGACACGACGCGAGGTGGGGTGGTAAAACTGCCAGCCAGGCGCGTCAGGGACAAAGCCAAGGAAGACACATGGAACGGCACGGGAGGAGAGCTTGTCCGCGGACGTATCGCGGACAAAAGCTCAACATCTCCAGACTCGGAACACCGACGCATCACCAACCTCCCCCGTCCAACGCACGGTGGGCGAGGTCTCCGGAACGGAGACACGGGGCCAGAGGTTGAGCTGATGCGCGGCGTACTGCACTGCAAACGGCCACAGGAAATGGGGGGCAGCCGCATGGATCATGGAGGTACGAGCGACCTCCATGACTAAGCCAATGCGGCGCTCAGCAACCCCATTCTGCTGCGGAGAGGCCGGGAGATTGAACGTCTGGCGGATGCCGTGCTCCGCACAGTAGGCTGCCAAGAGGTCAGAGGAGAACTCACCATCTCTGTCAGAGTGCAGACGTAGGACAGGAAAGTCCGACTGGAACCGCTGGCGGAGCTGGAGACGAGCAGCGCGGATCCAGGGGATCAAGACATCAGGGACCTCACCCTTGGTACGCAAGGGGAAGACCCTGGTGTAGCGCGTGTAGTCGTCGACGACCAGCAGAAAGTACCGCTCGTGGCCCTGTCCCCGGACGTGGGTGGGGCCCCACACGTCCAGGTGGAGAGTCTGCAGGGGAGCCTCTGTAGGAGGGAACGAGGAGGAGTGAGGAGCGGCGCGCTGCAGCCCCTCGACACAGGGAAGACAGGGAGGAGCAGGCGAGGGTGGCAGGGGAGGGAGAACTCTGGGAAGACCAGAGACAAGGTGCCTGGAGTGCATGCCGCGAAGGCGCTGCACTGACGGGTGACCAAGGCGGTGGTGCCAGAGGACAGTCCTGTGCGACAGGGAGCGACACGAGCAGGGGGCCGACAGGTAACCTGACGCAGACGCAGACGCAGCTACCTGAGGGGACTCAGTGGTCAGTGTGTACAAGTCCGACCCCGGCTGCCGAGTGAAGGTAGCCAAGTGACGACCCGTCCGAGCACACATGTAGTGCGTCACACGCTCGTAGGCCGGGGTGAACTGGTGAACACCCGCGTCCTGGAGCGCGGACCCCGCCACCAAGTTCGTAGAGAATGAGGGGAGGTAGAGGCCCGACAGCGTGCCAGACGGGACAGCAGGACAAGGGAGGGCAGTGGTGGAGGTCGCAAGGACCGGACCCCCTGAGGGGTCAGCCAGAGAGACAGCAACCGGTCTAGGAAGCTGCACGAGGGCAGTGCGGTCGCAAAAGAAACAGCGGGAAGCACCTGAGTCTAGTGTGAAGGTGTGTAGTGCCTCAGTAGGTGCGGTACAAGCAGACGCAGACGCACTAGCACCTAGGGCAGCAGCCTCACCAGGACCTGGAGGAGCAGACGCGCTAGCACCTAGAGCTGCAGCCTCACTGGTCCCAATACCCGGGCCGGGCGGTACACTCAGGTAACAGTCACCCTCAACACTAATAGTCAATGCATACATAGCAGCAAGGATAGCATCATAGTCAAGAGCAAAGATATCAATGCCCTTCTTAAGCAGATCAGCCCAGCGGGGCAGCTCAGAGGCGTCACAAAACTGCTCGCGCCAGGCGTCGTCGAGGCGAAAGAAACAGCGCTGTGCCGTGTGAAACCTCCCACAGGTCTGGCCAGTGCGGTCACCTGTGCAGATGACGTACGGGCAGGTACCCCCACCCCCAGACCCCCCACGCTGAGAGTACCACTCACGGAGCTGCTGGGGCGAGGGAGTCTCACCAGGACGCTGCTGCTGGTGCCTCTGGCCACCGCCGAACCCCCCACGCTGTACCGCTCCACCGCGCTCGCCACCCGCTCCACCACCGCCACCACTACCACCACCACCCCCACCACCTCCACCACCGCCGCCGCCACCACCCCCTGTGCCGCCACCGACAAGTGCTCGCGCTCATCTAACGGCAGGTGGCTGCGAACGGCTAGGCGAGCGTGAGCATCACGGGTCTGCCACTGGGAGCGAGCAGTACTGTCAGCAGTAGCGGGAGATGCAGGAGCAGCGCCTGACGTGTGGTCATACAGGGAGACATCGTCCTTGGCAGTGATCTGGAGGAACAGGTGGAGGTCATCTAACCAAACCTCAAACTTAATCGGGCGGCCCTCAGCGTCAAAGGTGAGAATAGAGGGAGTGGCCATAGTGGCAGTAGGAACAGTAGCAGTAGTAGCAGTAGTAGTTGAAGCAGTAGTACGGTAGGAACATGAACAAGAGTCGCTGGAGGTGGGGCACAGTAGGGCGGCGCGGCTCGGTTCGGGCGGTAAGCGAGCTCAGGTGTGCGGGAAGCGTGCACAAGTGTGCGGGAAGCGAACTCGGGTGTGCGGTAAGCGAACTCAGGTGTGCGGGGAGGGGGGCCGCAGGGCGACGCGCGGGTCCACGGGAGCGGCGCAACTGGATCGCGGGGGGCGCGCGCGGGTCCCCAGGGGCGACGCGACGATCGACGGGGGGGGCGCGCGGTTCTCCGGGGGCGGCGCGACGAGTTCGGGCGGCGCGGCTCGGTTCGGGTGGCGCGGCTCGGCTCGGGCTGGTCGACGCGGCGGTGCGCGACTGGGGGCATGCGCGTGGGCGGCTGTAGCGGGCGGGCCGTGGCTGCGCGTGGGCCTGACGAGCGCGCGGGCGGTGGCCTAGAGAGGGCGTCGCGGCGGCCTACGGACGTGGCTGCGACGCTCTAGGCGGCGGTTGACGGGCGGCTAGGGGCTGCTCGTGGGCGGCGCCGGTTGCACGGGCGGCTAGGGGTCGGCGCGCGCTCAGAAAAGGGGCCGCGCGCGGGCGGCTAGCGGGCTACGCGGGCAAAAACGAGCCGCGCGAGCGACTAGCGGGCGACGCGGCCGAAAAAGCGGGGCGCTCGAGGGCGCACTAGGCGTGAGGCGCACGAGGGCGCGATTAGGAGAAGGCGCACGAGGGCGCAACTAGCGGAACGATGGGCCCTTAGGTAAGCGGTCCTAGGGCTAGGACATACGCTCTTAATACAATGTCAGAATCAACAAGTGATTGAACTATGAACATTGGGTGATACAAGTAGCAAACCGTAGAATGATGTACCCCGTAAAGGCTAACCCGCTATAGCCTACACAACAATAACATATACGGTATAATGTTTGACAGAGGGCCCGTCTGCTACTGACTCCCAGCGTTTCCCTGCTGCTTGGTCTATTTCTGCTGCTCAGCTTCCCCCCTTCCCTTAGCGTTTTCCAGGCATTCGCTCTTGCGGTGTCCCGGTCGATTGCAAGCGAAGCAACGCCCTTTGAACGGTGCAGCAGCGGCATTCGCGGCGACGGCACATATCGTAGTGCCCTCGTTCGTCCCACAAGACCGATGTCCCCAGTTACTGCTTCCGTAGGACTCCGGTCTCGGTCGGCGGAAGAAATCAAGCTTCTCCGCCATAGCGAGAATTTCTTGAAAATCGGTGACGCCGCGAAGCTGGATTTCCTGATCAATGTCGTGCTTCAGGTCGCCGATGTAGAGGTCGATGCGTTCGCTCTCGTGCATATAACCCACTTGCTCGCATAGCGCCAGAAACCCGCTGGTGTAGTCCTGGACGGAACCGAGTTGGCGCCAAGTGCGGAGCTTCTATCGCGCTGCGATCGAAGCCGCAATTGGCTCGAACCGAGCGCGCAGACCTGCGCACCACGCGTCCCACATGCGATATTGGGGCACCTCCACGAAATACGACGGCGCCCAGGGTCCGGTTTGTCCCTCCCGTGTCGGGAGAGTCGCGTAGTCCACCGGCTTCGTGACGATGACACGCCACCAATCCATGGCGGGTCCTCGCAGCAACGACACGGCGTAGCGAATCTTCGCCGTATCCTCCAAGACGTAGTTCGCGTCGAAGAAGACATTCAACGTGAAAAGCCACGCCTGAACGGTAGGACCACCCCGCTGACTCAGGTCAAAGCATGGCGGACGCTGCGGCTTCAGCGGCATCGGCGAGCTAGCTAGTGCTGCGCTGGCAGCGAGGTTCGGGCTAGTCCCGAAGCGTAGGCCGTCGCGGCCGGGCCAGCAATGCGAGGTTTGGTGAAACAGTGCGCGCGAAGTTGGCGAAGCCCCGTTAGCAGTAACAGGCGAACAACGGCTGCTGCTGTACGCAATGTTGCAGGGCGCGCTAAGGAATACCGAGAAAATTCATTACAGAAATCAAGACTAACGTTTCCTAATTTACAAGAGTTCCATAGCTACTCACTGACGAGCAGTTTCTATTTTTGCCGCCATGATTTCTCTCTTCCGTTGCTCCAGCCCCTCGATCATACTTCTAAGATTAACCAGAGCAGGGTGAAGAGGCGGACCTCCATTCGGATCCACATGGACAAACTTGCGCTGGAGACCGGCAGGGGTGAATCGGGTCTCAAACCTTACTCGACCATCCTTGAGAGCAAAGAGAGTGTGGTCTCTCCCCATGCCTACAAAGTCCCCAGGGTAGAAACGAGTTCCTCGCTGCCTCACAATAATGTTGCCAGCCACCACTCCCTGCCGACAAATGTGTGAAGGAGACAGTAGGGAAAAGGCAAAAGTGCAGGAGAAAGGGCAAGGGTAGAAAATAAAGACGGGGGGTGGAGGGGAGGGGAGGAGGGGGAGGGGGGAGAGAGAGAGAGAGAGAGAGAGAGAGAGAGAGAGAGAGAGAGAGAGAGAGAGAGAGAGAGAGGGAGGGTGAAAGCATAAAAAACGCATTTCCGGATAACAATGAACCGACAGCAGACAAACGACACACCGAGTCATGGTAGAGTCAACAGATAGATGGGGAGTGCGAACACACATCCTCTAACAAGTCACCTGTCTGCCAGGCCTCTTTAACCCCAGGTGCTTGGACTGCATGAAAGTAGATTGTTCTGAGACGTCTCAAAACGCGTCTATGTTCACATGGCAAACCCACAAGCCCTCCTCACCTGTCCACCAGACTTCTTCACCCCCAGGTGCTTGGGCTGCGAGTCGCGGCCGTTCTGTGTGGATCCCATGGCCTTCTTCGTCGCACTGCGTTGCTGCACCAGCAACCACGCCCCTGCCGGTGAGAGTCCGTGCTGGGAAACCACCTCCCCCAGAGGCCCCGAGGAGCCTGCAGATGGGAATGTCCCAGCAGGCTGAAAGGCTCGGGTGATGCTGCTGAAGCTGATCCCGGCTACCTGTTGTGCTAGTCGGCGAGACATGACGGCGGATCTTGATGTGACCACTCTCTCACAAAAGCCTTCAACTGCTTCTTTCCAGAGGTCGCTTAGTGTCTCACAATCAGTTTTCCGCCCAAGAGCTGCAGGTTGGCAGAGAGAGCGGACAAGAATGGAAGTCGGAGGAATGAGCGTGACAGATGCCAGAAAGGTGGAGGTTAGCGCGGAAGAGGCACACGCTTTGGAAGGTTTGCGAGGAAAAGGCACCTGCTTCACGAGATCGCATACGCCGTAAGCTTGTGAGGCAAACACTAAGAGATTGCGACAAGTTAGGCTGTTACAATGCGCATCTATGAAACCTATCCGCGATTCGCCCAACCTTTCTCGTCGACCATAGGGTTCGTTGGTGTGGGATCCTAATCCGCTCCTACCACACGACTCCTACCATACGACTCTTCTCATCTCTCACCTCACTGGACGGTCGTGATGCGTCTGGTGCGTATTCCCGCCAGACCCTGACTGGCGGTATGTATGTTTGGCCAAATGTGTCAGCACCTGTGCTGGGATGACTGTCGAAGATACCACTTGTGGTGGTCAACAAATGCGACCCTCGCGTTCATGTGGGCATGATGAAATTATTGATTCAACCCCCACACCCTAGTTGCTGCGGTACTATACGGTGTTAGACGTAAATACGTGGGTACAGCGCAGTAACTATGGAACGTTCTTCTCAGATTTGTGGTGTTGTAGCACACAGCTGCTACAGAATTCACTATTAGTTTAGAGGATGACATTCCATGATCGTATACATGAAAGTCCAACACGACAAGAAACCAACCAAGCACCATGGCAAATGCCTTCATTAATTAATGATCCTATACTAGACTTGATAACCGAATCCCTCTCCTCAGGGATTCACCTCCTGTTAGTGAGGCAAGGAATCATGTACACAGAAGTGCCAGCCAGCCACCCCATAACTCTCCTCACACAAAGAAGCCCTCCATGGGCTTTCCATCAAAGCAATCAATCAGGGTCGCAAAAAACTCTCCATCAGCAACGTCCATATCGCGGCCCATCACCTGATACCCGCCTGCAGGAGCAATGGGGTTTCCCTTGCCATCACCCGCGGGCAGCGCAGTTGCTGCTCCCTCAGTAAGTGTGATCGCAGCCGTTGACTCAGAGAGCTGGCAATCCGACTCATCCTCACCGTCCGTACCCACATCTCCCTGGTTACTCAGAAAGAGCGATTCAGCCTTCACAACACCGTTAACGGCTGGAAGGAGGACCGGATCCGAAGAATCATCTGGAGAATAATTAACACCTGTCCCGTTCTCCTCCGTTCTCTTCCGCTTTCCTGGTCCCTTCGCGACTTCGTCAGTCAGCCCGTCCGTAACAGCTGTGAGCGGGGACGACAGAGCAGACTCTTTTCCCGGAGACGACGGCTTGCTGCCTTGCGAAAGAGTCGACCCCGCCGCTCCCGCGTTGCTTCCACCACTGCAATCGTCCAGCTCTTTTCGCAGCCGCTTAAGCTCGCGTTCCAGGTTTGAGTTCTGCTCCTGGAAGCGACGAATCTTGTCGGTTGCTTCAGTCAGCCGCCGCTGCACTGCGGCGTTTTCCATCTTAAGCTTCGCGGACTGGATTTCCAGCTCCTCCAGCCGCACCTGACGGCGCTGGCGCGACCTCTTCGCGGAAGCGCGATTCGACATCATTCTGCACGAATTAGAACACTCAATGTCATTTGACGTGACGAAAGCAAAACGAAACACGGCTTCAAGCTGGTAGCCGGCATGGACTCGGGAGTAAGAGGCAGCGGAATGCGTAAGATGGAACTATTGTCTTACCGCTTGTACTTCTTTTCATCCATTTCCTCCTCATCCTCCTCCGCGTGATGCGGATCCACCTCGGGATTGGCACCCCACGCGAATCCAGGCCCTGACCCACTCTGAACTGGACGCGGCGCGATGTTGGCTGCTCCCGTAGATTTCGCCCAGGCTTCCAGGCTCCCTGCAGGAACGGCCTGCTGCTGCCAGGCCGGGACCATAGAGCCTTGAAGCTGTTTTTGCAGCTCTTCTTGAGAGCCTGCCTGGAGTCCCTTCATGGGATTCCACGCCGTAGACTGAGCTTGTGCGAGCTGCTGCTGCAGTCGCAGCTGTTGCTGTTGCTGCTGCTGTTGCTGAAGGAGCTGCAGTTGCTGCTTCTGCTGAAGCATCTGCAGCTGCTGCTGAAGCTGCTGCTGCTGCTGAGCTGCTGCTCGGTGGAGTTGCGCGTTTGTCATAGTGGGAAAGAACTGACCGTGCTGCTGAAGCCTGCAAAGAGAGCAGGTGAGGTTAGTAAGAACCCGGAATTTTAAAAGAAGTGGGACACACACACACTGAATCGAAAAAAAACGAGCGTAAGAATTAGAAGTGAAAGCAAACTCACTGTGCGGCCGTGAAAGTGGCTTTGGGCTCCTCGGGAACCGCCTGAAAGCGTCCATTTGGTAGGCCTGACGTTCCAATCATTCCGTTCCACGCCCAAGTCTGAGCGTTTGAATTATTGACTGCTCCAGCAGCCTTCAGAGCATGTCCAGGTATTTCAGCGATGAAGTTGGCTCCTGAAGTTCCAGCTCCCGCAGGAACTCCAGCTTCCGGTGGACGACACATTTGCTATCTTCGTAAGTTATTCGACGGAAGATAGCTATAACTTGCAGTCGATTACAGTTATGACGGTGTAAGGGAAAGTGCAGTAGACTAAATAGAAACCGAAGCTGAGTCAGATAGTTTTAGGTCGGATACTGAGATTGAACGGGTGTGAGGTGAGCAAATAATACCTGGGTGAATGCGGAAGGGCGGGGGGAAATGCTAGGGGGAAGGGGAGGGGGGAGGGGAGCGTGTGTGCCAGTGCGTGTACGGTGAACAGGGACGAGGAGGTGTTGGCGGGAGTTGCGAACGTTGAAGCGCAGCGGTGGTCAAGCGGCATGGGGGAAGCGGGGATGGTTTGCCTGGGGATGGTAGGGAGGGGAGAGTGTGCTGGAGGAGAGTGATGGTTGGGAAGGGAAAGTTGCTGCTGAGGTGTCCCAGCTTGCGGGTTTCGGGTGTGGTTGTGGTGATTGGGCACAGCTACTTGGCAGGGCAATGCTGCTCGTGAACAAGGCAGTGCACAACTGTCGAGTTCTGTACGAGCAGGAATTCACACTCAGCTGCCCGTAGGTGGATTATTACGAAGCTAGAGCCTCCTCTCGATAACATCGACCAATCATCAGGCTGCTGATGTGTTGCTCAGAGAGTGGCCCAACAGCCAAATCAAACAGACCGAACTGGGTGATACACGCGCTTGGTTCACGATGATGGACGTTCGCAACATCAACAGCGGCAAGATTGACAAACTTGAGCAGATCTTTCTGGACTGGACTTGGCTGGTTTGGCGATGCCCGACTGAGTGGATTCCCTCTGACACTCATAAGGACGTCGTGCGGAACGCCTCGGCACGCCCCGGTGCACCGGGTTTAGAAGATAATACCGCTTATAAACAGTTTGCACCGATTTGCACCACGTATTTGGGACCTGCCAGTTCCAAATCGTTGGTATCTTACGAGTACTAGTACACCCTCTTTTGCGCTACACTGACAATGAGATTCACAGGCTACAGTTTGTACTGCTGCTTGGACCGTAGCGGTCTCGTGCTTACAGCCGAACTGCATGTAGTGACGGGCAAATGCACTCCTGGTGAACGGTACACAACGGTTTTCAGAAACAACCTTGCTTTTGCGTACGGTTGATTACGAGAAAACGTGCTTATATCGTATGTGCATGGACCATCCTGGACGCATTGATGTGTGTACATCCAATTAGTAAGTATAGCCAATAACAGTGTAGCGCGAAATAGGGTGTACACTTTCCGCAATTCCCTGATTTCCTCTGAACTGTCCCGCTGCATCACCCGTCTTGTGTTTCGGGCTGAATCATACAACAGTGCACAAATCATGCTCTTCGCGTGCGCTGACAAGGGCGGTGTTCGGGAGCGCCGAAACAGAGGAAGAGGATGCTGCTCTGCACCGAGCCTGAATAAGAAAAACGACATCACACCACTTGACAAACTGTACAGTGTCGACAGCTGTACAATCAGATTCGCCAGCTGGAGAAAATGACAGGGGTGTGCATAGTCAACGCCCCAATTCGAGCAAAAACGACAACCACCGCACGCCGGAGGTCAAGATGCCAAATCGCATCTACCATCTGATCGGAACTCTCCCCTTCCCATTTCCTCGTCCACCCAAAACGTATTTTCGAGACCGAAGCACCCCTTGCAACACGAAAAAAAAACCAGTTTCAATACAACAACACAACTGGAATTGTGTTCGGGCTCTCTCGACTAGTCATCTCTTGATCCGGTACAATTTCGGTCGTAAAATTATGCCCTGGGTAATATTGAAGCGGAATCCGAGATGCCCAACAAATTTCGTTGAGGACTGAGGCTCACTTTCTCCTCGCTAGAGCATGGCGAGGAGAAAGTGAGGAAAGAATTGCCTGTGATTACTGTGCAGTCAACCCACTGTTGGGGCAGCGGCTCGGTATCTCGAGCCGCTGCAGAGGAGAAGTTGAGGTTGATATTTCCAAACCGCGAGGTTAGGTCACGAAAGTGGTCGCAAGGGGGTCGCAAGCGATTTTTGGGCCCCCGAGCCTAGTACTATTCATCCTCTGGATCATGTACTCCTCTTCCTCTGGTTCTCCCGAACAACGCCAAGGAGCAAGTGCCACAGGGTGGTCTGAACCTCTATTTCCTTGCCATTTCTGAAGAAAGCTGACGAGGAACAAGTGGAAGGAGTTTGTCCAGCAAATCCGGGATATTTGATCGTACGCGTGGAGATCAGAACAGTCAAACAAAGCAGGAAGGAAGGAGGAAGCTGTAAGCTAAACTGTGCGTCAATGAGAAAGGGCAAAATCCACCTCATCAAGCGTGTGGAAGGACAAAAAGGACCTGTAAAGACACGAGCCGTGACGCAAGTGCGCACCGCTTTTTCTAGGAATCTGAACCTATTCTTCAGATATTATAATCCGAGCTGGAATTGAGACGTCAACTTGTGCCACTCGCCTTGATATTCACCGAGAAGGACACAGGAAAAACGTTCCTGAGTGGTTCTTTCCCCTAAACTTCACTACTTCCACACCAATACAGTCGATGCTCAGCCTATCACGAAACATTTGCACTTCACAATTAGAAATTTAGTCACTCGCGAACGTTTTGCCCGTGAGGGACTAAATTGACCATTGTGCCGATTTCAGGGTACAGTCACCAAGTTGAGGAAGAAAAACATCTACAGTTCATAAAGAACAACGGTTGCCCGTCATCAGAGAAGTTAGCCTCGTTACGAAATTAAAGCCCTTGACTCGATTCACCGTGCAATTTCATATTACAGTCACATTTTTGCCCGTGGCGACAAGGGCGAACGTGGCGAAATATCTCAAACTCGTTTCACGTTAATGCCGCCCGCCTACCTGGTGTTCTTGAAATGGGCACCGACTGTACCTTCTTTCTCAATTTCTGTGGTTGCTCGAATGGTTCTGTTGAATGTATACATCTATCTCATGACTATGCACGCAAGTTATACGTGCACAAACACACATTTGTACGGCTCGTCATTATGTTATGCACATGCACATATTTGCAAGACCTTTCCTTATATACTTGCTATTGATATTCATGCTTCCAAAAAAATAACAATTTGCCTGGACTAATGTACCCACCAAAACTGAATGTGCTCCAAAGCAGACTTCCATAAAAAAATTGTGAACCAGAGCTTACAACTCAGTGTAGCTCATAAAATGCAAGTCAAAATAGTGTTTATTCCCAGCTTCTGCGCTTCAATATTTGCCAGGCATTGTCCCTTCTTTCGTGAAGCATGCTCTCATGCTCGTTATACAGGAGCAGATTACTCCCGTTACAGTTACCGTCATACCCCGGATATACCCCCATGGGGGGCACTAATCAAACGTGTTTTTTTTAGGGGGTGGGCTTATAATATAGTAATTTTATAAGCGCCGGGGCTTATACAATGACATATATGAAATCTAGTTGTTTTCACTTCAAAATGTTCATCTTCTCATTGCGATTTCAATCAAGTCAATATCATAGTGGGTGTGAAGAAGAATCTCGCGTAAGTTTGCAAACTGCCAACACACACTGTCAGAATGAGTCATTTCGCCCCATGACAGCTCATTCTGACTGGACGCGCAGTCAGTTGAGTCGCGCGTGTCAAATGTTGTAGCCTGTAGTGAGGTTTGTCTTAGGGGGTACAGAACTTAGGGTTTGTTATATGTACCCCAACCAACATCAATGGCATCATCATTCCTCATTTTGACATGGTATCAGCTAGGTTAGGATCCTGTGGGATCCCGTTCCTCCGTTCTCCGTTCGTCCCTCCCGAGCCTGATCCTACCTCTCGTTCGTACCGGTTCCGTTGTTACCGCGCCTAGTACCGAGCCTAGCGCCCTCTCCACCGTCGCTTAGCGCCCTTTCCCCCCGTCGCCTAGCGCTCTTTCCCCCCGTCGCGTCGCGCCCGTTCCCCCCGTCACGTCGTGCCCGCCCTTTCCCCCCCGTCCCGTCGCCCTGTCCCGTCGCGTCGCCCTGCCCCGTCCCGTCGCCCTGCCCCGTCGCGTCGCCCTGCCCCGTCCCGTCACCCTGCCCCGTCGCGTCGCCCTGCCCCGTCGCGTCGCCCTGCCCCGTCCCGTCACCCTGCCCCATCGCGCCGCCCTGCCCCGTCGCGTCGCCCTGTCCCGTCCCTACGCCCTGGCCCGTCGCCCTACCCTACGCCCTGGCCCGTCGCCCTACCCTACGCCCTGGCCCGTCGCCCTACCCTACGCCCTGGCCCGTCGCCCTACCCTACGCCCTGGCTCGTCGCCCTACCCTATGCCCTGGCCCGTCGCCCTACCCTACGCCCTGGCCCGTCGCCCTACCCTACGCCCTAGCCCGTCGCCCTACCCTACACCCTGGCCCGTCGCCCTAGCCCGCTCTTCCGCTGCGACTGAGTCCCCTTCCCACCTGAACCCTAATTTGCCTCTTCTCCCCGGTTGTTACTCGCCTGTTCGTTCACGTTAGTTCTCACTATGGCGACTCCGCGAG